CCGACCAGCTCTTTTTTGCTGCACGGAGGCGTGTGCGTAATTTTGCTGCAATCAGATAGTGATGTTTACCACAGTTCGGTATCAGTTCGGTTTCCGTCATGGAGGCTGGCAAATATGGGCCAACATGCACCATATATCCAGCCCAAAACAACAGGGCAGCATTGCCCGAGTAATGCACTTTTCGATTGAAAAAAGAAAAGCTAGGACAATAAAATGAAAAAGAAATACTTGAGCATTGAGTATTTCGAAATATACTTTTAAAACAATTTCAGAATAATCTAAGATTACTGTAACCCAAAAGGTAAAAAATATATTTTTTTTTTTTGTAAATCCGACAGAAGTAAAAGAATTGCCTTAAACCTATACAAGTATCGTTAAAATTCGCTGAAAATCACTTTTTATAGTAAAAAGATGCGAACGCAAAAATACCACGCAGAAAGCCCTCGATAGAAAAAAAAAATAAACAAATTCGACGAGCAATGCAATGGAAATGCATCAATTGTTTGACCACTGCCAATGAATTTCGCCAGAACGAACAGAGAAAAAATTGCAAATTCACACATGCCCACATTTGCATGTATGCATAGAAACATACATATGTTCAAACACGCATACCCAATGTGCCACCGAGCTAGGACGAGTTCGAATCGACGTCAAATTAAATTATTTTTTTTTCATATAAAATGTGTCCTCTTTTACACTAAAATTTAATGAGCTATAAAAATTGGTTATATTTTTATACCCGAGCGCACTTGTACACAAGGGTATTATAACTTTGTTATCGAGATAGNTCTTTTTAATTGAGATTAAAAAATTTGAAATTTTTAGGAATGCCTTCTGATTTGTGTTTTTTTAATATTGTATTATTGAAATTGGATTTGTATGGTTTAAATTGTATAATTTATGGACCGCCGGCGAACTGTGCTTATCATCCGACGGCGAGTTCGCCGGCGAACAAATTGTTCACCAGAACGAGTTGGAAACGACGTCGTTAAGAAGTCGTTTGGCAAATTGGGTATACTTGTACAAATCTGCCGCTCTAATATTGAACTCTCCGATGAAAGGTTGCATTTTCTGTTTATTTTCTAGGTACTCGTAGTATTTCAATGCATTCATATTTTGTTGGTCGTTTATTTGTTTGCTTGTTTGATTGAAATGCATGCGCCTGGGCTAACGGTAAACGAAAATGATGACCAAAAAAAGGTAAACTGCTAAAAGAATTTAAATGAAAATAGCAAAGGTTACCTAGGAAATATTATAAATGGAAGATGGGCAGCTGGAAAGGAGGTCAAATGGTTGGTGGACAAAAACAAACTTGGACAGAATTTTCATGAAATGAAAAAGGGTTAATACTAATGGAGAATATATCTACCGTGAAAAGTATATATGTATATGTGTACACCGCCGTTTGTAAATACTGTTAAGCTCCATTACGCATCTACATGTTTACATACATATGTGGAATCCCTGCAGAAAATAACTATCAATTGATAAAAAATAACCAACTTGTAGTTGGCCTTTTTGCGGGATTTCGATAAATACCTAACTTTAAATTAGCTATGACAAAATTAAATTTAAGTAAGTTGTAAAATCGTAATTTGTATTATCATTTTCAAGTTAGGTCTGGCTGAATTCGAATATGGGACCACCTAAAGCAGAATATGTAAACGAATATGTACTGTTGAATCGTGTAAATAAATAAATAAGGAAAAAAAATAAACAAGATTGCCTTTCTTATTGATATTCAAAGAGTAGCTAGTTACAAATTAGCTGACTTCTAATGCGGAGGTAACACCCCTTGACTATTTCGCGGCCATCGCCATACAAATATAGCTAGCCTTCCTCAAAGAAAATATATAGGTAAGAGTAACCTTTAGTTCCTTCCTAATCAACATGAAGTTAACTTATAGTTAGATACATTTCCTGCAGGGTATTTATGTAAGTATTTTCACATTGCTAATTCACCTATCATCATGCCAGCAGCAAATTTAAAAATGCTTATACGAAAAGCAGTCGATTCTCCATCGCAACCTACAGGTATTTTCGACAGAAAGTTGACAGCTGAACAAACTTCAAACAGTTCTTTTGTTATACACAGGTATATTTTGTTTTTTTCTAGAAAAGTAGTTCCCCGAGAATATTTTCGACAAATAGAATGAAAAAGATAGACTTTTAAATTCAGAATTTAAAAAAAACCCATATCTGATTTCAGATTAATGGAAAACAATGTTACAAATCAGAGAATTAAATCACTAATTTGAAAAACAAAGAAGTGATTTTACATTAGATAAAGGTCGTTGTGTGTGAGCACAAAGTGCTTTCATTCAAGTACTTACTAAGGACCAGTTTTTCAGTGCCGGTTAGTTTAAACTAAATTAGCCAATCGAATGTTAGCCAGCTTTTCCACATAAACTCAGTTTACTTCATTTAATTTTAAACTGGCATTGATAAACTGGCCCTAAATCGCTTCAGCATATGAGGAAATGATGTCAAAAATGGCTGAAAAAAAAACCGGCATGGCAAGTACAAAAATGACTCGCGAGTCAGACGCACCGTCTATGGCGCCTCTTAGAATCGACTTTGCAGTTATGTACATATATAATCCAAGTAGCCATCAGAGCCTCTTTCGCTAGGGGTGATTAGAAATTCGTACTACCACTATGTAGTATATTTGTGCGATCCCTGGTCCTAAATTAGAAAAAGTTTTTTCTAACAACGGTCGCCCCTCGGCAAGCAATTTCAAACCTCCACGCATAATTTAGTACTTTTCATTTACGCTAAAATATCAGGCCGCTCACCATAAATAGAACGACAAGCTCATCCAAAAACTTAGAAAAAAGTGTAGGCGGAAAATTATTACTAGGCATCGGAACCCCTACTTTTACCCACTTAACATCATACTGTCCCGTTCCCCCCAGTACTACTGTCAATTATGTCGTCGGGAGGTAGTTTGAACACTGAACCCTACGTTCCGTAGTAAAGCCTAGGACCGGCTGTGACGGCATACTGATTTGTTCCCTCGTCAGCGGAATACTCAAGGGTTCTTTTGTGAAGGTAGCTTCTAATTATGTTAGCCAGGCACCCATAACTTTTTAACACGTTTAGAATATGCACTCAGTCTGCGGAATTGAGTACACTTTTGAAGTCTGGTATGATCCTTGCAGTCGGATTCTCCACCGCTAGCCTGTGATTGCTTTTGTGGCTATCGAAATTGCATGGCAACCTTTTCTCCCAGCATTCATACTGGTTCATACTGGTCACAGCGTCACTCTATTGTGGGCTTCTGGGCGGTTGAAAAACAAATTTTGCACCTGTCCACAAGCCTCGGTGCCTTTCTAAAGGAGTCTAGGATCTTTAATTCTGCCTGCCTATCCGACATAACATTTATTCTGGCCAAGTTTGTCATCTAGGAACACAGACTTCGATTGCGGAGACGTTCGCCTGGAATACGGATGGCTATGGGCCCATTGACAGACTTTTCTGTAAACTTGGTCAAAGCAGGCCTCCTTTTCGATCAGAATAGACAGAGGAGAAATTCCTGTAGTCATACCAAGAGCATACGTTGGACAGGTACACACAACTCCTGTCGTGGCCACGCAAATTAAGCGGCGTAGCTTTTATTTTAGTCACCACCACACCAGTGCGGCATATGTAACAACGGATGGAAAATCTATACGCATTCGAGCCTCGTATAATTTATTAAGATTAGCATTTATAAGGAAAGCCGATGGTCTCTTGGTATCTCAGGTTTAGAGACTCACAATGTGGATACCTAGATCTTCTATCCCACAGTGTCCTCTGCGGGGTTCAATCAATTTATTAATTAAATAGCCATTGAAAAGAAATCATAAAAAAATTATTTGTTTTCTAAGACAGTCAACCCAATGAGGTATCTAGAGCTTAGCTTTAACAATTTGAGACCACAGACTTCTAATGTAGTCTAATAACTCGTCATCCGCACCACATATTTAAATAGTTTTACCAAGCCTATGCGTAGAGGTATTCGCTAAGACTTACAAACCCCTTTAAAGGTGCATAACTTGCCTATGGAAAGGCCTTGCAAACCGTATGAGGGTTTTGTAAGACTAAGTGAATACCCCAATGAAAAAATAAATTCCGCGACTAACTAAGTACGTATGTATATCTTCAATCAGCTGAATTATTTTCCGCCAGTTAAACAGCTTTGCAGCTTAAATTAAGAATGTAAAGTTAGAGAACTAGAAAGTGAAAGTAAATTTCTTGGAGGAATAGAACCTTAGTAACAGCAGAAAAAATATCAGAATAATTAGCATGAAAAAGGAGTACTAAACACTATTCAGACAACATTCTTCAAACACCAAAATATGCCTGCAGAAACGCAAAGAAATAATTAATGTGGAGTACATATGAAAGTAAAATTAGTCGAGACAACAAAAAATTTTGTCTGTACGACGTGCCCCACTTGAATACATATGAATAATTTAAACGCCATGGTTTACGTAATTTCGCTGTTGCTCGTCTCACAACTACACCAAGAAAAACCCAATGTCTGCTGGCGAAAGAAGTATGGGAATACAGGGATACAACACGCTGCAGCAAAAAGTGCAGAATTCAAAAGCAAATAGAAAGGAATCCTACAACACTACGCTACCAATAAAGTGCTAGCAAGTTGCTTGCGGAACAACGTCAGCGACCAGACTGAAAACCATATTTGGGAAAACTTGTAAAATAAAGGACTTCCAGGATAGCCAGCCGGCAAAAGTGACACAACAAACACTAGTGTTGCAAGGCTTGTAGGACTCTAAACTCTACAAATAGAATCCAGTCTACAAAACTTCGCAGCGAATAACGAAGTACAAACAACAGTTGTTAGGCGCGTGCGCGGCGAAAAAAAAGTAGGGATATTTTTGCAATCAACTCAACCAAGGCTGCAGGAACACACATAGCTGTGCAACTGGACACTCATACGGCACATAAAACTAACGGGTTGCGAATGCCGAACGATTCAGTCGTTCATATAAAATTGACGCGTACGGTTAGCAAGTGGCAAGTAAATACGCGCGCGCTCGATTCCGTTTGTGCCGCATGCGAAGTCGAATTCAAAGCCTAAAAGCAGCAAAAGCGGAAGTACGACGGTGTAGAAGTAGTAGAAATTACGCACGCAGGCCGTGAATGTGTTTGTGAAGATGCTTGAAGGAGTATGAAATAAGAAAAAAATATGCTTAACGAATATTAATGTAAGATAACCAAAAAAAGTGTTGCATACTATGTTGAGGAGGCCGAGTGAGGTGTTGAGTGCATGGGGAGGAGAAAAACGCAGGTGGAAGAGCATATCGGTTACGTACTAAGTGGTAAATGTAGTAAGACATTAAAAAATGCAAAATTTATGTGCAGAATGTCGCGAAAAAATATGTGTGAAGCAAAAGACTATGTATGTATGTACATAGCCTACATATAGGCGCTCGCATACAATTTCGATATTTTTTAATACACACTTGTATATTAGAAAAAATATATACAATATAAATACAGGAAAAAAGCATTTTAAGTCTCATTTGCTACGAAAAAAATTCTATACTACACACATGAAAAAATCGATGCGGTGCCGCAAAGTATGCAACTAAGTGATGTACAAATTGAAATAACAACAAAATATGTTCCCGTAATGATTGATGGTACTCGGCAGCCCAGCTTGCTGCTGCATTGACCACTCTGTGCATGCGAATGTAAGTACATACATAGTTTGTAGGACATTCAGGTATTTGTGTTGGTAGTATTTTGCAACAGCTGACTGCGCATAAATGTGGATTTAGTCATTGGAATTAGGTAGCATATAAGAAAAATGTGTTGAATGACATTTTGGGAAAGGGTACCCAATGAGCGATTGGGTAAGCGAGATATACTCGTACATATCTACTTTTATGCATACATAGACACAAAAAATGGTTCCCCTGCGGAAGAAATTGACAGCTCAAAGAAGTAACTATTGAACGGCAAACAAGTTTTGTGGCACTTTGTTGCTGTTTTTGTATTTTTATATAGTCCTTTTACTAGACTTACCGGGGATACTTACATTGATGGTTACGAATAAAACAAATTATTACAAAGGTGTGACCATTAAGTCAAAGCCCCGTCAGTTACATAAGGCAGAAGTGCAGCGGAGGTAATGGAAAATAAGAATATCAATGGAGCTGAAAGCCAACGCAGCAGCCACCAGGCATACATTTGATCAAGTTATTGTTTTTTTTATGTCACAGCAAATCAACAGGGTCCACAGGAAACGTGAACAGCAACGGGTAATGATTAAGATTAGAATTGAGATTAAGATTAAAATTTAGTTAAAGATTAATTTAAGATTTCGATTGAGGTTAGGGTTATGATTGAAATTGAGATTAAGATTAAGATTGAGATTTGGATTAAGACTAATATTAGGATTGAGATTAAGGTTAAAATGAAGATTAAGGTTAACATTGAGACTCAAATCTAAGTTGCGACTAAGATTGAAGTAGGGATTGTGATTAAGATAAAGTTTAAGGTCAAGATTTATTATAAGATTAAGATTTAGTTTAAGATTAATTTGAGATTTCGATTGAGGTTGAGATTGACGTTGGGGCTAAGATTGAGATTAGGATTAAGATTAAGAATAAAGGTATGATTGAGATTAAGGTTAAGACTTAACTTAAGTTAATGATTAAGAATAAGATTAATTTTGAAATTGAAATTAAAATTGAGGTTTAGATTAAGTTTATTATACAGAAAAATACTCATATAATATGGTGAGCTAAGTAATAGTTAACCTTGTTAACTTCACTAGTGCGTGGGATCCACACACAACCTATTTATAGATACAAATATGTATGTATAGCTGTATTTGTCTTGACACTGATGTGTCGGCTGCACGGGTGATATTATGAGGATGTGATTTGTCATTTTATTTTGCAGTTTATTTTTTCACTGGCGGTACACTGTCAATTTGCTATATTTATATATATTATATATGCAAAAACAAAAATAACATGGTATGTTTATCGAACATTTCAGTACATCTGTATGTTACACGCATTTCACACACATCCTTAGTGTTTTTTTTTTTTTGAACAATTCTGCGCTTCGCCATTTGCACGCAACCACAATCAGCAACATTTTGATAGATATGCACGATTTCTGCATAAAAAATATGGGCTGCTGCTGTTTGCATGCCCAAGATTATGCTTATTTGTCACCAAAGAAACACACAAGTAATCATGTCATTCCAAAAAATCAAAACGTGACGTTGAGAGAAATGTCTCATGCGGAGAACTTCGAAATAATAAATTTTTGAAAGCCAAATGATGAGGCGGGAAAGCAAAATATGTATTATAAGAGCTGTAGTTTAAGAAAGAAAATATATATTATAGTATCCAGCTATCTAGAAAAATAAAACATTGATTTGAAAACAGTTAAGAAATATGCATCCATCGAGTTTGTTTGCCACACTCAAGAAACAAATGGTCGTACTTTTTTTTTTCGTGAAAATTTACCGCAACGGCAAAAGTACAAGCAACAGTAATATGTATGAAATATATTTTCTGTGCTGGAAACTAATAATACATAAAAGTTTAAGGAACACATATAAAATAAATTTGATTTAAGGAATAGTATGAGGTAACTTATGAAGGAATATGCGTATATCTCCAGAATTACTTTTTTTTTGCATTTGAGGCATTATTTTTAAAGTCGAACGAATTTCGTAAAGAAATGAAGTCATGTCATCAATTCGCTTAAATTTTTTTTATAGCTTCCGTACATGAAGTAAGATAACAAGTATTCGAGTATTGCCGTTATTCTAACTAATCATTTACTTCTTCAAATCATTATTTATCGGGTTCTGCCCATCGTACAGACTTCATCTTAACGTCATTTTAAAATTAAGGAAACGGACTTAATATTTTTTTTTATAAGATGCTTATGATTTTTCTAATCCTATCTTAGCTTTATTCAGTTATACTTTTTAAAGTTTATTTTTATAGTTAAGACAGTAAATTAGAGATTTAAAATCATGCCATCATAATTCTTGTTTAATTCTCTATAGAAACTATGCGTAAAATGCGGGTTTTTCAAGAACTATTTTTAAAATATTAAACTTAAAAAAGAATGCCTCATATCGATGGCTGAGTGGAAGATCGACCTATCTCGGCAGCCAGTTCGAAAACGCTCTATCTAAAAAAACTTTTCAAGAACGCCCTATTTCAGAATTTAATTGAAAAACACCCTATCTCAAAATTCGGTTCAAAAACGCGCTATCTCACTTCAAAATGTATTGAAAATATGCTGATATAGGGCGTTTTTGAATCGGCAGCTGAGATAGGGCGTTTTTGAAACGAATTCTGAAATAGGGCGTTCTTGAAAAGTTTTTTGAGATAGAGCGTTTTCTATAAATAGTTTTTAAAGGAAAGGCGGCATCTCAGAGGTGGTCCCACATATTTGGTTTAAATCCGATCATTGGATCATGAAGAATTTAACAGTACTCTTAACATTTTATATGGGAATTGAAATCGGTTTTGTTTTATACTTAAAAATTACTTGTTTGTGTACAAAGCCATACGTTTATAATTTTATTTTGGGTAAAAATAATCATATATGTGTCTAAAGAAATAAACAATTAACGCTACCAGTCACATACATACATTCATACACTTGTGGTCAGCTGTTTAAGTTAAGCGACATTTGCAACAGTTTTGTTTATTTTCTTTTGTTTAATTAATGTTTATACTTTTTTATAAAAGTCTAGCACATTATATAAAAAGCACCACATAAATCCACATTTTAAACTTCTTACAAAGATTCTTAAAATTCTACAAAATTGTACAATTACACCCAAAAACTTTACACTTTGTATTAAATTTTTTTGGAAAATTTCAGGTTTGCAGTTTTATAGTGCATTATATTTTAATAGGTTAAAGTGCAAATTTTAAAGCGCTAGAGAATTGCATTTATTTTTAACGTTTTTTTTTTTTGCTGACGGTGCTATTTAGGCTTTTTTCTCTCACATACATATATGAATAATTACCGAGCATACTTTATATGGGAGGAAATGCTCAAATAAGTATTAAAAACCAATCCGATTTTCTAGCGCCTTAAACTTAATGAGCTACAAAACTGCATACCTAAAATTTTTCTAAAAATGTTTAATTAAAAAAGTGAAATTGTTGGGTGTAATCGTTAAAGTTTGTTTAATTTTTATAAATTTTGTAAGAAGTTTGAAATGGGGATTTATGTAGTGCTGGTTATGTAATTTGCTAAAACTTTATAAAAAAATATATAACCGTTCAATAGTTAATATAAAATAGCCACAACTGGTCAAAATTTCATTTCATTTAATCAGCTGAGCACAAGGGTACATAGATGTGTACCAATTTAAACAACTACTTCAACGTTTGTGGGTGTTTTTATATTTCTAAATTGCTTTTTTGTGTTTTTTTTTAAGTCAAAATTAATTATTTAAAAACGCTTCTCAAATGCTGGGTTTCACCAATCAGTTTTAAAATTTATCAAACTGTTAAAATTTAAAATAGCACAATTTCCGGAAAAATTGTGTTATTTTAAATTCAAACAGCCTAAAAAATTTAAAATTGATTTGTGAAATCGAGCATAAAAATCTTTATTAAATGCAATGAAAAAGTTAGCAAATATAAAGAAATACTTAACTGTTCTTCTGTCAAACGAAGGTGGAGGTAATATGAAACGCTTATATTATATATTTAATTTTTTAGATTTACAGTTTTATTTTATCTCAATGTGTACTCATAAATGTTCAAAGAGAAAATTTTTGCGGAAATAAAAATTACAGTGCAGAAAAAGTGATGACATTATCTGCTTTTTCAGAAGTTTACACATTAACTGCCAACCGATCGCATGGAAAGTCTCTTGAGGTTCAAGTGCACATGAGCATGACAACCTTCAAAACAGATTATTAAAATTCTTAGCAAGCTATAAAAAAATTTTCACGCGTCAGCTACTCAGCTTTAATTACATCAGCAGAGTCGTAGTACATATGTACATGTATACATCATAATTTTGGGAAAATCGATAAGCGAGTCTGAAAGAGTTATTGCACAAGCTGGAGTGAGTCTGTAAGGCTTTTGAAATTATGTTTGTGGTATGCAATGTGCAAAATTATTAGCATAAAAGATTAAATTCCTCAATTTTTCAATTAATTTGTAAACGCTTCATGCTAGAAGTGGTAACGGTTATGTCATGCTTGAAAACACGCATTTTAAGCTTTTATTACAATACACGTATAAATGAGATATTTTAGCTCGTATTTATGGTAAGGTACTGAATCTTTGTACGAAGATATATTAAATCATTTCCATAATCATGGAGGCGGGCTGGCATCCAATTAAAAAAATGAAAAGCATCTTGAATTAAGGGAACTATTTACTTGAAGTTTGTATTAGGTTAAAAAGGTTTTTTTTTTTAAATATTTTGCCACCTGTTTGAAAAGTCTAATTTAAATTAATAATTCTCATACTATTTGAAGTGTTTAAGTATCGGTATCAAACGGAAAGTCCTTTAAGCCGTTAGTTTCAACATTTAGAATATAAATGAGTTGTTGTTCCAGGGCTGCCACCTGTTAAAACACTAAATTCAATTGATTTAAATTAATTATAACAATATGGGTTTAAATCGAAATAATAAGCCCGTATTTCTAGGCTCCACGTTGTAGGGTTGTCACCTTCTTTGA